AAGTGTGTCTCAGTATGCCCTGAGCACACAGCCATCAAGCTGAAAATCAACACCCGCCAGACCCCTGGATGGTGGGGGCAGTGCTGAGGCGGCTGCCCAGCACCCCGTGGATAGCCCACTTTTGTATCAGCACACTTTTCTCACAGCTTATCTTGTGATGGCAATCCTCTCAAACCCGAGAATGACGAGTGTTACGGGAACAGCCAACCAGAAAACAGCGATCATCGTTGGGAGTGTGTTTTCTCCAGAGAGAAGGCAGATGGCTGCCCCAGGGGTGACCTGAGTCAGAACATCAGTGTTCACAATGGTTCTCTCTCAGTCTCCCTCAAGTCTGACTTGCCTGAACCCCTGCTGGCCGGGTGCGAAGTGTGAGGCTGGCCAAGAGCTTTGAGGCTGCTCTGAGGACAGAGGCCCTGCAAACAGAGGGCTGCACACCTCTCCAATGCCCCTCACATTAATCAAATCAAACAGATTGCACTCGTGACTTCTCTTTTTCCTGACCTTGTTTTCTGCCTTGTAAAAATGCTGAAAACAACCATCCTCTCCTAGACCTGGCTGGTTCTAGGTGTTCACACTGTGGCTGCTGTGTGCCTGACACCGTTGAAAATCAAGTGGAATCATCTCCCAGAGCAGGGGAGGGCTGCCAAAGCACTTAGCAGGCAGCTGCTTCCGCTGTGAAGGGTGGTGCCGAGGACAGCCCAGGACCCACACATTCTACACTGAAGAGAGGGCCACAGGTGTGTGTACACTTGGTTTTTCTTTTGTGTTGTAGCCGTGAACTTGATAGTTTCCACAATACGTTCTGTGGAATCTTAAGTTGTAAATATTTCTGCAGAAATAGTATTCTTTGGTCAAATATGTTTGGGAAAGTCTGCACACCCTAGTTCCCTCCTGCATTTCACACTGCACAAAGCATTTTTCCAGTGGTGGCTCTGGAAAGTCCTGGGGAAAATAAAACCTTTTGTCTCAATTTTCCAACTGATTTTGCCAAAGACTTCTTTTCAGAGTAAAGCCTGTTCCTATCTGCTGGGATACCGGTTTTCCACAGACTCCCATGTGGAAAAGCCAGGCTAGCTGATGCGGGCAGTGGGGCATCACTTGGGAAAAATGACAAGAAGTCATTAAGTTCTTCCTATGCATAGAAGGTCCCAGGTCAGGCTTGGGGAGGGGTTCAAAGATGCACAGTGTGCCTGCCTGTGAGCCTCGGGCAGCATGCACTGGAGTGACTGCCGGCTATTTCAAAAACATCTACAGCCACATCGACTCATCATTTAGAAAGTGTATCACAGCTGATCTCCTAAGTTAAGCAGATAAACTGTCCCCCCGAAGTTTGAATATGAAGAAGACAGCTTGGAAGCTGCGGGAAGTAAAGCCTGCTTGGAATTGATGAGAATAGGTTATGAAAAACTGACATTTGTAAAATACAAATGAAAGGAATCTGGTTTAAATAAATGATTTTAAAATGTAAGTTTTGAGTTGTTTCTGGACTCCAGGTGGCCTAGAGTGGTGCCTTCAAAATAGTTCTTATGGGTATAATATTCTAGATTTCCCTCCCATTTCTGCAGGTCGGAAGCCCTGAGGTAGAGGGAGTGGTATGCAGGTGTCCTTGAGGAGTGGCAGCTACTCCTGGCTCCTGAGCCATTCCCCCGTTCTGTGTGCCTTGCGGCCATAAAGACACATTTCCTTCAAAACGACTTCTTGGGGGGGAGCTTTGAGAAGGGCACACGGTTGGCACCCTCCCCAGGACCATCATGATGCTGGTGGCTTGAGGATTTGTTGCCTCATGCCCAGGTGGCATCAGATCATTCTACCAACCTGTCCTGGGCACCTGGTGAAACTGCAACTCCCTCCGCCACAGAGAAATGAGCAGAGATCCTGCCCTTCCCAATCCCTGCTCAGCTGAAGGAGCAGTGACCTGTGCTGCCAGCGCCCCTGCCGAGGGGGCACCTTCAGGTCCCAGCCAGGACCTTGTCACAGCCACCCTATCCAGGGACTGATGACCTGGGTCACACCCACCATCACTTAGCAGACTCTGGGGACTCACAGGTCCTGTGGCCTGGGCCTGAGCACTGGCCCTGCCCTTGCAGGATGTTCAGAGCACCCAGAGAGCACGTCGTGTCTCCTGCTGACTCCTGAATGTGGCAGGGGCTCGTTGCAGCCCAAGGCTGGCTCTGTGCCCTCAGCCCTGGTGGAGGGAGGCAGTAGCATACTCCCCGCCCCGCTGACCATGCCACTCAGGGCCTTCCCTCGCTGCCAGCTCCAGGCTCCGTCCTGCGCCTGTGTGTTGCTTTTCCTCCCAAAGCGGAGAAGGATTTTAAACTACAGATTTGGCCCTAAGTATGTCATGAGCTGGTCACAATTAACTCAGCTGAGTCAGTTTTAAAGAGAGAAACAGCCTCATCACTGTGACTTTTTGTGATATGCTCATTGATAATTACATAACAGAAGCCAGATTCTTTTCACCAAAGGTCCTGTTCTCTCCTTTGAACATCCCCACTCGCTACAGGCTCAGTAGACATTTTGTCAAAGGCTTTGAGTCAAACTGCCTGTGTTCGAATCACAACTCTACTGTTTATATACTATGTGTCTTAGGCGGGTTATTCTCATCGCTGCCTCAGTATCCTCATCTGTAAAAGGGAGCCATAATGGTACCTACTTTACTGTGTTGGTGTGGAGACAAAAAGAGTGAATATGCATCCAGTGCTTCTCAGACAGCTGGTCCCCCCAGAGACCCTTGGGAACTGTCAGCTATTTGTGTTATTATTATGTCTTACAGTCAAGCCATACTTTTCTCCCCTGAGAAAAGCATGTTGCTTAACTCTCAGGAGAAATAGCAACGGTGTAAGGTCCCAGCAGTGTCTCTTGCTGCAACTGCACATTCCCAAAAGGACAGAGGCTCACACTGGCCTGCAGAGGGAAGGGTGTCCAGTGGGCCCTGCTGGCTGCCCACAATGGGCCTTGAGGGTGGCCTTGACACCACCCCTGCCAGGGAGCCCAAGGAGCCCCTTAGCTCAGAGAGCTCCGTTACCCTAGTGCCTGCACACCAGCACACCAATTCGTAGTCCACAGGGGGGGCACAGTGCCAGCTCTGCGGGCTGTGGCCCAGGCTCTGCATCTCTCAGACTAGTCTGAATCTACACCCAGGTCCTCACAAGCTGTGTCGTCCTGGGCAGTTTACCAAACTTCTCTGAGACCCAATCGTACCCAGTTTTCCCATCTGTAAACTGAGGATGATAACAGGACTCCCTTTGTAGGGCCTTTGGTGAGGAAATGAGATGTGTGTGAGCCTCAGGCTTCAACGCGTGGGCAGTGGGAGCCCGCGGTGAGCGGAGCTCTGCATTGCCAGCCTGCTGTGGTCAGCCCCTGCCCAGTCAGCAGGTGCTGAGTGCTCCTGGAGCCACAGAAACAGGTGTCAGATGGCGCTGAGCAGAGCCAACCTGACAGGAGAGAGGCCGGCACTGGAAGACCAGCCCAGCCTGCTTGTCTACCATTGACCTTCAGGTTATCTTTTTCTGTGTGTCCCAGTCATTAGAGAGGGAGCATGTTTCGGTCCTGTGCCCGCTGGATGTCACAGGCCTGGGAGCTGTGCCATGAGGGAACTGTACCCACCTCCTGATGGTCCGGGGGTTCCAGAGGAGTCTTAGGGGCAACTTTACTTCAGGGCTGGGGGAAGATGGCATCTCCCCATGTCTGGACAACAGCATTGAGCGTGTGTTTAGGGAAAGAAGGCTGGGGACAGTGGCCCTGTCTCCATGCTGCTGTGGTGGGGGTCTGTCTCAGCCCAGACAGAGGCAGTGGCAGTTGGGCACTCCTGGCCGGTGTCTGCAGGACTTAGCCTGCACCTAAGTCCTGGAACCTTGGCTGCACCGTTGCCAGCACTGAGGAGGTATGTGCTGGTGAAGGGCCATCCCCGCTCTCTCTATACATAGTGTGAGTAGTCACGTAGCAAAGCAACATAAACAAGATAGCGCGAAATTGTGATAAGGGCTCTGATGATGACAAATGAGTTGTATGATAGACTATGATTTTTCAGGAAGGTGATGAGGGAAGGCCTCTCTAAGAAGTTGACATTTGAGCTGAGATCTGAATGACAAGCCAGACACATGGAGACCAGAGGGAAGAGCATGTCTGCCAGGTGGAATATTAATTGAAAGGAGCAAACCTGGGAGATGGGGGAGTGGCTCGGAGGCTGGGGCAAGAGGAGACATTCACCTGGGTAGCGGGCCAGGCATGAGGGTCTGGGGGATGAGGGTGAAGAGCTTACTGTGAGAGTCACAGGAAGCCATTAGAGGGGCTGCGCAAAAGCACAAAATGCAGTGGTTTGGGTTTTCAGAGGATCTCTCTGGCTGCCGCTTAGAGGCCAGTGATCCAGGAAAAGGCCAATGGTGGCTTGACTTGGTGGTAACAGAGATGGAAAGAAGCTAAGAAACTGCAACTGGCATGAATGATGAGGGAATGAATGACGCTGACAAGAAAGTATATGGACCTGGGCCCTTCCATCATTGCTTGTGTCTCTTCCCAGACACATATGACACACTCCTACTGAACCCCAATGTGGGAGACTCGGAGATCCAGGGGAGGCTGACCCTGCTCATCTGTGACCATTTGTTACTGGGTGCCCTGGTGGAAAGTAGATGGCACTGTGCTGGATCAGAAATGGTGCTTGGAGGCGGTTCTCACACCCTGGTAGTGCTTCTCATCATAGAGACTCAAGAGTTAATAAGACCTTTGGGGAACTCTCAGACCTTAGCTTCTATTAGTAACTGCATCTCTTAGAAAGTGCCAGAAGCACCACAGAAATGAGCTTTAGGAAACCAACCTGTTGGTAAGTTGAAACTACCTAATTATCAGGAGCTCCTCTTTAGTTGGCCTCCACTGAGGCCCCCACCAGGTGCTGTGTTAGCCTATTTCATCTGCCAACCACCCTGCAAAGGGGTAGTGTCCCCTTTTACAGAGCCCACCTCTCCTGACTGCGCCCCCGCTCCACCCACCATGCTCACCGCACGCACGTCATCAGGCAGGTCCTCATCTAGCTCCCCCTTGACTATCTTCTCCAGGGTGTTGATGCAGATCTCCAGGAGCTTCTCGTGGTGGTGGGTCTCCAGGTCCCGACACTGAGCCATCGTGCAGCCTCGAGTTAAGCAAAGGCCAGGGGCAGAGTAGGCTCGACAAGCACCTGACCAGTGGGCTGGGGCCTCACAAGCACCCAGAGGGCTGGGCCATTTCTGGTCCATGAGGACAGACTTCTAAGGGCCAAAGGGCAAACTGTGAGGCGCCAGTGCACCGCCACCTTCACGGCTGTGTAGCCGTGCACACCAAACCTCAGCTATCCTGACTGCCCCCGCTTTGCACCTGGTCATCACTGACCCATGGCAATGGGTGCCCCAGCTGTCCCTCCATCACCCACTTCTCCCCATCCCCCGCCTCCTGACTTGACAGTAGACTAAAACCTGGTATCCCGCTCTAGCCCTTTCTCCCCCGGCAGCTAGAGTGCACTGTAAAGGCGGAGGTGGACAGGACCCCATCCCTCCTGTGCCTACAGCTCCCCAGGAGCTTCCCACTCTCTACTGTGCTCTGCAAGCCTCCTCTTGGATCCAGAACTCTCTGGCTCTTCTCAGGACCTTTGCACGGCTGCCTCCTCTGCCTGGTATGTCCTCCCCACCTTTCTACCTGTGCCCTCTGGCCCACCCTCAGGTCCTCACTTAGTGAGCCCTCCCCCAGGGAGGCTCCTGGCCCTGGTCTCTGGGTTGGCTGCCTCCATAACCTCTGTCTCCCTGTAGGACTGTGGGCCCAGGAAGGCAAGACCAGAGATTACTTCCGGGCTAAGGCACCGCAGTTTACACCCTACACAGCAGGGCGTTGAGTCCCTGTGGCAGAAGGGTCGGTCAGGCCCCAAAGGTTGGCTCCTAACCTTGACATTTAACCTGCCAAGCTCATTATTAATAATTTGTCAGTGTCTTCAACTTAGAGGTTGCCCCTCAACCCTGTGTGTGTACCTGGGCTGTGGTCACTCATTTGAGAATAAATATGCCAGGAGTTGTACTGCAAACAATGCCCCCACCCCAGCACAGTGACCCTGCAGGGGCTACTCAAAGCCGTCATTGCTCTAAGGGTGGAGAAACTCCCTCAGACTCCCCCCGTCCAGAGAGCAGTCTTCGAACGCTCAAGTGGTTGCCAAATCTCCTTTGAAGGTGAGTTTTTTTCCTTGGTGAAAAATGGGGGTTTACATTCCTCCAAATTCAAAGGTGGAGATTTAGTAGGATCCTACAATGACTGTGATGTCTTCCTGTAAATGAAACAGGCGTGCAGTTCTGGTAAAAAGCAAGTGCTGACTTTTGACTGTCTGACACCATGTTTAGGGTCTGGTGGCAGTGGAGGGGCAGGCGTTTGACCCCACAGGTGGCCACCTGGAGGGGACCCCACCTATATTCATCCTGCTTAGTTTGTGAAGAAGCTTTACCCTTCCCTGTCTCATGTTAAAAATGTGGGCACCTCTCCCCTAACCCCCAGAGGCAGGGGGTAGTGGTGTGGGCCAGGATAACCCCACTGGCCCAGCAGTGCCTCCCCATGGAAGGTCACCAAAGAAAGGATATAGGCTTTGTACATTCTCGATAAAGAGCCCCACCAAGTCGACGATGTTCCTTTCAAACATGTTTATCATCTCCTGGAAATGATAAAGAACGCAGTTAACATGCATATTTAGACATGAACTTGACTTGTCTGGCCTCAGAGCAAAAGGTGCTTCTTAGAACTTAGACGGCACCTCCTCTAATCATTGACTTTCAGTATAAAGACCAACCACCTTGGCCTTCCCCGTAGATGTCTGTGAACTGACCATCTTTCTCCCTCCTGACCTCTGTCCCATAGCTCCATTACTCTTCGGCCACTTCAACTCACGTACCACACCCTGCTTGTGTGATGGGATGCCTTCTCCAGGCCTCTGCCTATGCCCTCTGCCAAGAGCACCTGTGCTGGTTTTACCACCCCCACCACACACACACACACACACACACACACACACACACACACACACACACACAGAGAGCTACTCCCCCTTTTGGGGCTCCTCAGTGGCATCCATCTATCACCTCCAGAGGAACAGGGAGGTAGTCCCTAAGAGCCAGGCTGCCTGGGTCAGTATACCAGCTCTGCTGCTGTGTGTAACTCTGGGAATGTTATTTAACCTCCCTGGACCTCAACTTCCTCATCTATGAAATGGGTTTCCTTTGTAGTACATGTCTCAGGGAGTTGTGGTGAAGCTTAAATGGGCTACTTCACACAAAATGCTGTGCAAGGTCAGGTTCCTGGCAGAGGACACACTCGGTAATGCTGGCCCCAGACCACTCACATCAGTGCCCTGACGACACCCCCACTTTGCTGCATCCCAGTGCTTAGCAAGGTACTCAGGGCCTGAATGGGAACAATGGAAGATGTCTGGTGAAGCCAGCTACTCTGTGAGCCCCCAGACTGCAGGGTGGGCTGAGGGCACAGGGAGTCCACACAGCCTGGGGATATCTGCAGGCCAAGCCAATTAGACACATTCCAAACGTGTGTAAACATTGTTGCAATGAATAAAACCAGGGTCACTGAAAGCACGACTGCAGCCTCTTGGCCACTGTGCACAGGTGTGACAGTAATCTAAGCATGCCTGTGCATGGGTCCTGGGGACTTTGGGGATGTTGCAAAGGGGGTCTCTTTGCTTGCAGATGTTAGGAGTAGGAGCAGCTGCCTAAGCCTCCTCTGAGGCTCGCATGCTGCTTTCATGCTTGAGCGTTCCTCAGCGGGGCGCACGCATCTGCTGTGTGATGTGGTGGGGAAATTTATCCTGCAGCGAAGGTGTCACTTGACATGTGAGAAATTGATCAGGTTCTATCTCTTGGCCCAGCCATGGCAGCACCCAATGAGGTTCGATTCATTACAGCCCTTCAGACTCCAGGCCTTGGCTGCCTGTGAACACACCAGTCACTCTGGCCTCTAAGGAATTTTAGATAACAGCACTTTTCATTTCTACTACTTAGTGTTGAATTGCAGGCTCCTTGCATCGCCCCAACATGCAGCAACTACAGACTGAGATGTGGAGGAGGCTCTGTTTCATCCCCAAGTGGGGGTCCACCTTGTGTTTTGAGCATCCTCTGCCCCTTGAGGCTCTGGGCTCTTCCAGGGTTGGGAGAAAACATTCCAGAGGAGTAATGAGCTCACCTCTCCTGCTGCCTAAGAATCCCTTGCAATGTAAATGACTGACATGTATTAAAAGCAAACAGGGGCCGGCTGAGTGGCTCAGCTGGTTAAGAGTTCGCTTGGGAGCGCCAGCTCTGAGCAGCAGGGCTGCAGTTTGGATCCCACGTTGAGGGCCAGTGACACTCGCCCTCTACAGCTAAGATGATGAACAACAGCTCAACCTGGAGCTGGGCTGCGGTGAGTCGCTGGTGACGGCTTAGGCTGCAGCGGGGCTGCAGTGGGTTGCCGTGAGCTACATGAGTTCCTGGCAGCCAGCGTGAGCAGCCAGCAGCCGGCAGCTGGCAGCCGGTGTGAGCTGCTGGGAGCTGCTGTGAGCGGCCGACCAATGACCGGTGACCGATTGCCTCACCCGGGAAGAGCACAATGGTCATACCAACATGGGCCAGTGAAGTGACGTCCTCCACAACTGGACTGAAGAACAAAAACAGCAATTTGTCTGCCTCCCCTTCCCCAATTCCCCAACGCTGTTCCCCTCCCCCCAATTCCCCAATAAAAAAATCTTTTAAAAAAAGGCAAACAGGACCGATGAGCAGGAAAACATCAGTCTGACACGCTGAGTTTCACTGGACGTTTCCAGCAGAGGAGAGCCTGGGGAAGGCTCCAGCTCGAGTGTGGTTTTGCAGCTGTATCACCAGGTTCTTGCAAAAGAAGCCTGGCAGGGCACGCTCATGTCCCATGTGTGCCCAGGGGCCCCGGCCTCACCTCCAGCTGCTCTACCAACTGCATCTCTTGGGTCATGAGCACGTTGTACAACTCCGTGATGTCCTTGCCATGTTCCACTATCTTCATCTCAATGTTGGTCATGTCAGACTCATCTCGGATGGCACTTAAACTCTGGAACAAAAAGCCTGTGCTTTAGGGATCACAACTAAGTGTCATTAGTTAATGAGAGTTGGCAATTTGGTTTTGTAGGTAAGAACTTGGACTCTGGGTTCAGTCTGCCAAGCTCAAAAGTCAGCTTTGCCACTTGACAGCTCTGAGCTTGTAGAAGCTAATGACCCTTTCCCTGCTTGGAGGCTGTTAGAGCACTAGCTAGCAAGGACTTCATCCACAGTAGCTAGGTTTTTATTAGAGGTGCTAGGCTGGATGGAAGGAGCGATGGCTTCAGGGTCAGGCAGATCTGAACATGAATCTTCTCTGGGGCATTTATCAGCAATGTGACCTTGAGGAAGTCACTTCCATTCTCTAAGCTTCAGTTTCCTCATGTAAAGGGGAGAGAACCTGCGCTTCACAGTCCTGGGGATTAGGCTGTGCATGTGAGGTGGGGGCTGAACTCATGGAGACCCCAAGAAAAGACCCATCTATAGCGGGCATAGGTAGGGAGAAACACTAGAAACGTTAAGACAGGTCCAGTCTTTGAGGAAGCCAGGTAGACCCACACAGAACCCCAGTAAGCAAGTGGTTGTCAGCAGTAATCATTGCTAGTTGGGCCATTTGAAACAAGAGGGTGCTCAGGGGCTGGAGGGCACTCCGGGGTCCACGCCTGGCACGGAATACCAGCTGTTCACCAACAAAGTGCCTGGGGACTTGGCCACCAGATGCCATGTCACTTGTTTTTGTTGATATTTGGTATTAGTTGTGAAGGAAGAGAAACTGGACACAATTCAGGGGGTGAATGATATTTAGAATAATGGCAACCCCATCTGTAGAAAACCCAGGTTAAATTCCTACCTCAAGCCTTACATGAAAACAAATTCCTGACAGTGCAAATTTAAATGTAAAAAATAAAGTCATACAAGTACTAGAAGAAAAACTGGAGAATTTTAAATAAATTATCTCAGAATGGAGACGTCCTGTCTAAGTATAACCAGAAGAAAAGATTGATAAATTCTACCACATAAAAAATTTTTAGGGCCAGCCAAGTGGCTCAGTTGATTATAAGCGCAAGCTCTGAGCAACAGGTTGCCGGTTCAATTCCCACATGAGCCAGTGAGCTGCACCCAAGCTGAGCTGCCACCGAGCTGCCAACAGGTGGCAGGATGGCTCAGCTGGTGAGAGCATGTGCTCCTAACAAGGTTGCCAGTTCGACGCCCACATGGGATAGTGGGCTTTGCCCACCGTCAACTAAGATTGAACATGGCACCTTGAGCTGAGTGGCCACGAGCTGCCGACGGGTGGCCAGGTGGCGACTGGACTAGGAGCTGAGCTAGCTGCACCCCCCACAGCTAAGATTGAAGGACAACAACTTGGCTGTTCCCCTACCCCAATTCCCTAATAAAATCTTTTAAAGAAAATATTTTGAGTGGTACAAAAGCATCATAGGCAAAATGATAAGATAAACAACAAACTGGGAAACAGAATTGCAAATTATTTCACTGACACAGGACTAATTTCTCAGTTTATAAAGTGCTCCTACAAAGTAATAGATTTTTTTTAAGGGGGGGGGAGAGAGAGAGAGAGAGAGAGAGAGAGAGAGAGAGAGAGAGAGAGAGAGAGAGAGAAACACCGAATAGAAAAAAATGGGTAAGGGCATATTATGAGAACAAATAGTTCACAGAATAAGAAATACAAATGTTTATAAAACATGTGATGCTCACCCCCATTTAAGAGAAAATAAACATACACTGCCAGAGTAACAGATTAGCAAAGATGAGAAAGCCTGCTACTTCTGGCCTTACAGGGAGCCGCAGGGCTGCAGAGGGGCAGCCTCAGTGGAGTGACCTGGGCAATAACTTAGTGAAAACAGCAACTCACAGTGCCACATCAGGACTCCATCCTACAGATCACACCTGCACCAAGTTCTTCATTGCACCACTGTTTGAAAGAGCAAGAGATTGGAAAAAACCTAATTGTCCACCCATAGGGACTAGCTTAACAGATTATGGCTCACTCATGCAATGAGATATTTTACAACTATTAAAAACGTTAAGCAGGGGCGGGCGGTTAGCTCAGGTGGTTAGACATAACACCAAGATTGCCGGTTTGATTCCCACATGGGCCAAGGAGCTGCGCCCTCCACAACTAGATTAAAGACAACTACTTGACTTGGAGCTGATGGGTCCTGGAAAAACACACTGTTCCTCAATAAAATTTCTTTAAAAACAAAACAAAAACAAAAATAGAAACCATGAAGCAATTCAAGTTTGGGAGGATCTCTAAGCTGCACAGATAAAATAGCAAAGCAAAGTGTGGAGCAGTGCATGCTACACTTTCATCATATACACACACAAACACATGCACACAGACACACACACACACACACAGGCACACATATGCACAAACGTGCAAACACACATACACACATGTGCACAGACACATGCACACAAAGACACACATAGCATGCACACATGTGCACATGTACATGGCAAACAGCACACACGTACACACATGGATTGGAGGCAGACTGACTCCTCCCCTGTGTACATTTTTCATTCTGTGTCTCTGCTTACGCTTGTTTGACCGATCCACTACTTGTCACTATCTAGTCACTAGAGTGACTATGGCTACATATAGACCATCCGTCATGTGTTTTGCGCCGGCTCTGTTCCATCTCACTGGTCCCCACTACAGTTCTGCGAGGCTGTTATCTCCATCTCACTAATGGAGAGGGTCATCAGTGAGGGGTCGCCTGAACCACCCCTCCTGGGCACCAGAGTGGGAGGTGGGTGAGCCTGGGTCTAGTGGGGGTGGTAAGAGGAGTGCAGGACAAGCTTAGGGGTGGTTCTGTGAGGGGAGGGACTAGGGCCTCAGGAGGTGTGAACTTCCAGGATGGTGGGCTCAACTTGGCCGAGCACTGTAGGCAGCTGGCAGCACTGGAAAACCCCAGGGCCAGGCGCACCCCCAGGCCCGCGTCAGTGTATCATCAGGTCCTCATGGGTTCTGGCTTGTGGCTGGATGAGGAGTTCTGCTCTAGTCTCTAGGAAAGGAGAACTCAGGTCAGTCAGCTCCTCCGAGGCAGCCTTTGAGGACGCCGCCATGCAGACGAGTGCCTCAGCAACCCGTGGAGCTGGCCTGCTCTGAAGACCCAGGTCCGAGGAGCAGCACGTTAGGCGGCCGGGCTTGGTGCCAGCAGGAGTCCAGCACTGACGGTGGCCTGGCCCATGTTCTGCTTCTCCAGGTGGTTTGTTGCTGCGGAGCCTGGGCCCCAGCCTGGGGCTTCAGGGGGAGCCAGCTGGCTGACATCCAGGCGTCCCAAATCCAGTGGCTATAGGGACCAGATAAGAAATGCCATGCAGGATATGCCAGACAGGACCTGGGGGACTGGAGACATGGCCTGTCCAGAGGGAACGACTGATGCTCAGGCCATGGTGACAAGCGCCTCCAGAGAAGCTGGCAATCACAATTTTTCTGTGAAATCTTCCCGATTTTAATGTCAGCAGGATGTTCAAAATGTTTTAAAACCCTCTGCAGGCCAAACAAAATACACATGTGAGTCAAATGTGCTTCTCTGCTGACAAGCTGGAACTTCTGGCTGAACTATAACACCCCTCCCTGGAACCTAGGTCCAGCTGCAGAGGCTAATGAGACAAGAAGTGGGACGTAGAACAGGCGCTGGGGAACGGGTGGGCTGGGAAGCATAGTGAGCCCACCGCCAACCCCATTGTATCTGAACTTACATCATCAGGAGATTTTGTTCTACTTTGAACTAGGAGTTCTCAGCCAGGTGTGGCTTCCTGGGCTCCTCTAAGCCCCGGATGCGGCAGGCAAGTGTTCACATACTTGGTGCATGTGAACGTTTTTAGGAGAAAGAAGGTCCATAGCTGCCCTATGAGTCTCAGTAGGTGTATGACTCAGAGCAGGTTAGGAATTGGTCTTTAAAAGTAACGCTAACTAAAGAAACAATCCCCGTTAAGTCCACATGGCCCCTGGTGAGGCTGGGCTGAGTGGGCTGGTCAGGCAAGCCCCGCATGCCAGGTGCCTCTTCCTTTGGTGGACTGCCTTTTTTTCCTCAATCACCCTGGACAAGTCTTCTTGGTCCTGTAAGCCTCAGCCAGAGTTCAGGTGCCCCTGGAAACCCACAAGGCTTCCTGGCTTCCCTCCAGGTTGGCGCTGGCCAGTCTGCAGGGGAAGGCCTGGGTCTGCGCCTCTTACCAGATGGGAGCTCTCTAAGAGCAGGAGCCACGTCCAGCATGGCTCCAGCTTCCCAGAGCTGGGCACAGAGCAGAGCTCAGAAAATGTCTGCAAATTGAACGAGTGAACAAAAGAGAAGTAGCCATCATCGTCACCACAGTAGCAGTGGTAATAATAATACCATTTTAGTAGTAATGATGACGCTACCTTGAACCCCAGGTGTGTTTAAGTGAAGGAGACCCACAGGCCCCGGGGCGCCGCCCTGGCCAGTGGAGGAGCTGTGGTTGGTCGGCCAGTGGAAGGCTGAACCTTGGCCCAGCCACTGAGTTGTATGACCTCTGCCAAATGGGGACAAGGATCATGGGCCTCAGGAGTCGTCAGAGGTACAGGGGCTGCAGCTCCTGAGGTGAAGCCAGGCCCACAGCAGGGTGGGCACCTGGGGCAGGAGGCAGTGGGGGACCAGGGAGGGCAGGGCCTACCAGCAAGTGCTTCTCCTCGAACTTGGCAATCCTGTGTTTGCCCTGCTCCTGGTTTTCCTGGATGGCCTCGTGGACACACTCACTGAAGGTGTCAAGCTCCACTTTCCGCTTCTTCTGCTGTTTCAGTCCATACTCGAATATGTGCAGGCAAATGATGACAAATTTGTCCTTGTAGGTGAGTGGCTGTTAAGGAAGCTTGAGGCTGTTTCAGGCACAGGCCTTGGTGGTGGGAGTTGAGATTTGGAGGACAAGGTGGTGGTTGGAAATCTCTACCCCCAGCCTGAGGGATTCAGGAACAGGGCCTGTATGAGGGAACCCCAGGTGGTGGCCACAGGAGAAGACAGCAGAGCAGAGGAAAGGCATGTGAAGAGAGGCCCCAGAGAGACTTCTGGGGGACCTGGAGGGGCTAGGGAGGGCCTGGGAGTCCAGGGAAGCCAGCCCGGTCTGGGAGCGAGGCAGTGAGTATTTTTGTCTCTGCTGTATTGTCTAGATGGCGCCTTTGTTGAGGATCTGTCTTCAGGTGCTGCAGGTGCACTGAGGGAAACTGTGAAGGTCGGGGGGACCCCAGGCTAGAAGCAGAGAGATCCAGGTTCAAGTGCGGGCTCTGCTGCTGCTTCTCCCTGGCAAGCTGCCTCCCATCTCTGAGCCTTGGGTTCTTCACTGCACAACAGAACCCGCTGCATGGAGCCCTTGGGAGGACTTGAGGTCAGGCAGGTGGCTACAGCCTCGATGGAAGCCCAGGTCGCCCAGCTGGCAGGTGGCAGAGCCAGGCGGGAGCCCATCTATCTGGTCCAGAGTCCTGCTCTTTACCTTCTGCCGAGCCCCAGACACTTACTGCCCCTCCCACTCTTCAGAATGTTGGGTTTTTAAAAGTGAGTTTTTCGTTACTCAGGGATGGAGATTCCACAGACCCACTCTGTGACTCCTTGCCTCATCTTAGCACTCTCAGACCAGAAACCCCTCGATTCTATCCCGAGCCCCTCAGCTTATAGTTTAAGCCAACTGATTAGCCATCCCAGCGATGGCCTTGACAAGTGTCAGTCACAATCCTGTGGGTTCCGGCCAACTGGGACAACAAGTCAACCTCTGCAAGGTGAGCTACCCAATTATAAAATGGGATTATTAGCAGCATCCATCTATGGGGTGGCTGAGAGAATTATAAATACTGTATGCAAAGCACACAGCAGAACCAGTTAATACGGCTAAGGAGGATTAGTGCCACGGATGTCAAATTCTATCTCTGACAGCCTGGTTTGTCAAGCATACAGACCCGGGCCATGTAAAGCCTCGGTGCGTCCCCTGAAATCCAGACATTCCCTGTGTCACTCAAGTGACCTGGCTCCGCACTGCCTCCTGGGTACAATGCTCTGAAGTGGAGGTTTTACCTTCCAGGGTCTCAAAGAGAGATGGGGAAGCTAAGGTTCAGAGTGGAAAGGGACTTGGCCCAGGCAGGCTGGTGGCCTGGGGCCCAGGCTCTGCCAGAGAAGGCAGCCATGAACTTGGAAGGATATGACTCAAGGAGCTCACCGACACTGGGCAGGTAGGCCAGCTTTTTGCCTTCCACGTCCTCGGCATACATGCTGTCAAACAGGAAGGAGCCGTTCAGGTGCTCGACAAACGCAGCCTGCAAGTTAGAAACACAGCCAATCTCCAGGCACTGACCCACTGTACCAGCCCTGCGCTGAGCACGGCTGCTGGTGAATGCTTCGTCCTCCGAGGGAGGCAGGGCCGGAAAGGGCATGCTGGGCTCAGGGCCAGGCATGTCTGGAGGTCCAGAGGCATAACATTGAAAGCTGCATGCGGTTTGGCTAGGAGGGTGGGGTGGTGACTGTGGGGAGGGTGCAGTGGGGGCTCAGTTTTGAATCCAGGGCCATGCTGAATAGGGAGGAACTTGAACCTTCCCGGCTGCCATGGGGAACTGCCTGGGGGTTTAGGAAAAGGAGCTGCTCTGACAGGCTGTTCCAGCACAATCTCCCCTGTCTTGTGGAGGAGACATGCGTGTGGGTCTGGGCAGAGCGAGGCAGGGGCAGGGCACCTGGCCCTGTGGATGGAGCACGACTGACTCGCTCAATCCGAGCCGGGTGTCGCTGCACAGCACCTATTCTCAGGGCTCTGCTGATCTCTGTTGAACTGGACTGACCCTTGTGGCTAGCATCCTGGAGCCAGGGCAGGGAGAGGTGGGAAGTGGGGTCCCTCTGGGCCGAGGGTACCTTGTACTCCTCCAGCTCCTTCCGCTGAGCCTGTTCCTCCTCCAGCTGGGCCTGAATCTGGTTCTCCCGGTGCTTCAGCTCATCGAGGCTGTACTGGTGCTTAATCTCCGCCAGCTCTTTCTGACAGGGAAAGAGGAAGGGGCATTGTGACCAGGGGACACTTGGTCCTTGGAAGCCACGCTGACCTCTGCCGTTCTCTGGCATCCCGAGTGTGGGCGGGGTGTGGATGAGGGTGGCTTGTTGCCTCATGGCCCTTTTCAAGTATTCTGAGTCTAAGGGGAATTAGGGAAGGATCAAGAGGGGTGGAGAAAGGCAGCACAGGCCCACTGGCCGCCCCCCGAAGGAGTTCTGGCTCTCTTTTAGGGATGCGCAATGAACAAAAGGGGAGGTAAAGTGAAAAACCGGAGTCACAGGCCTGGTTACAAGGGGCTTTATCCTTGGCTCTGTGCCCTGCCACCTCCTGGCTCTCCTCACCCCTCTGGCTCATCCCTCTGTGCCCACTGGGGAATGCTGGTGTCCCTGGGACTTGGTGCTCACCCTTCTGGGCTCACTTGGTGCTTACCCTTCTAGGACCAGACTCACTGCCTCAGGTGATCTCACCTGTGCTAAGACTTCAAGTACAAGATTCTTTATCCTCTGACAACACTCAGGTCTCTACCTCCAGCTCAGACCCTACCTCTGAGCGCCAGACCTAAGCTTCTGATGACCTTATGCTATCAGGCTGCCTCAAGAGCACTGCCAGCTCACCCTGTCCAAGATGGACCTCTGTCTTCCCAGAGTCCTACTGAGGTCTCCCCCAGCCAGGCAGCACACAAGCCAGGGACCCGGGAGCATCCTGGCCCCTCCTCAGCACCACAGATCCAGGCTGTGCCCAGGTCTGCCCATGCTACCTCCTGATGGCCTCTCTAATCTCTCACATCATCTCTTGCCAGGACCCCTGCCTCAGCCTCCTAGCCAGCCTTCCCTATGCACCCTGTGCCTCTCATCTGTCTACTCCTCCCCAGCAAGCAGCCAGAGCAATCTGTTAAATGTAAACATGATCTTGCCAGCCCCTCATTTAACTCATATAGCTTCCTCTCGGGTATAGATTAATGACAAGCTCCTACTGTGGCCTGCAAGGCCCTGCCTGCTCCTCACATCCAGCTCTCTGAGCTCCAGCCACTGGCCTGCTCACTGTGCTGCCTTTGGACCCAGGGCCTTTGCACATGCTCTGCCTTCTGCTTTCACCCAGCCAACTCCTGCCCATCCTGTAGATCCCAGCTCAAAACCACTTCCTTGGGAAGCAACCTCATAACCACCGACCCGCATCCTATACATCGATCTCAGTCCATGTCCTTCCCTCCTGACAGTTCCATGTATCTGTGGGAAGATCTAATTGTGTGTCGGCTCCACAAAGGAAGGCAGGGGCTTCCCCAGGTCTGTCCAATTCCAGAGCCTGAGCTTGCTTTCTCCGTCCTGCGCTGCCTGAGTTCTGTCCCAGTCTCCTCCCAAACACGATGTCAGTACACGTCAGTGCAGTTTCATGCCTTAACGTGGGCGTTGGCTGCAAACAGCTTATGCTACACAGAGTTGAAAGCCTTCTAAAGAGCTCTTGCTATTCATTGAGCTGTACGCTTACATTCCTTACATCCTCCTTGCTTCCACTGGGCTCTCCTGGGTGCTCCTCACATCAACTCAGTGTACCTCAAACACAGGTTGCTTTCTCCCAGGAAAGGCACCAGCTTCCTGTGAGGAGAGGGAAGGTCAGACAGCCCTTGGTCTCCCTGGCTCCCAATACACAGAAACATTCCAGTCCCACTGCCAAAGCCTCACAAACTGGTCAGATTCTTTTTTTCCAGTGGGGGAAGTCCCCACAAACTGATCACATTGCAAAGAATAAGAAGCAAGTAAAAGGGGACAGGCTCATAACAGAGGACATGGAGAAGAAGTAAGCAGTGGACAGACCCGTCAGTGAACACCAGGCAGTGGGAAGACCTGACAGTGGACAGACCAGATGGTGGACAGGCCAGGCAGTGGACAGACCCGGCAGTCAGGTCTTTTCACTGCTGGGTGGACAGACCTGCCAGGACAGACACGGCAGTGAACACACATGACGGTGGTGGACCTGCCGGGTGGAAAGACCCGGCAGTGAACAGACCTGATAGTGGACAGACCCAGCAGTGGAAAAACCCAGCAGTGGACAGACGCAGCGGTGAACAGACTCGGCGGTGGACAGACTAGGCGGAGGACAGGCCCGGCGGTGGACAGGCCTGGCAGTGGACAGACCAGGCAGTGGACAGATGTGATGGTGGACAGACTTGACAGTGGGCAGACCAGGTAGTGGACAGACCGGGCAGTGGACAGACCCAGCAGTGAACAGTCCTGATGGTGGTGGACCAGACCTGCCAGATGGACAGACCCAGTGGTGGACAGACCCGATGGTGGACAGACCAGGCAGTGGACAGAACTGACGGTGGATAGACCTGATGGTGGACTGATCAGGTGGTGGACAGACCTGACGGTGGACTGACCAGGCGGTGGACAGACCTGACAGTGGACAGACCCAACGGTGGTCAGACCATACTGTGGCCCGAGAAAGGCCCTCCTCGCTGGGGCAGGCCCGGCACAGGGGCTGAAAGCATAGGCTCTGCTGCTAGGCGGCCTGGGTCCAAATCCCAACTTGACCACCACTGACCATGGGATCCAGGGTGAGTCACCTCACCATTGGCAAGCTGGGGGTGAGAGCAGGGCCCACATCGCAGGTTGTGGTGAAAATAATGTGAAATAACGCAGTGTGCTTGGCATATACGTGCACAACAACATTTAGCTGGTAATACTGTTTCTGGGGTCACATAGAATTGGGGTGAATCGTGGCTCTGCCACAAGCTGCAGATCCTGGCTCACTGCTTGGTCTCAACTTCTTTATCCAGAACACCAGACAGTACTGGCTGGGTGTGGTGGGACTGGGGCAACACATAGAAGAAGCCTGCTGCTGTGAGCACGCCCTGAATAGTGACCATGAAGGTCCTGCTGGAATCGCCCTGACAGAGGCAGGTAAAGGAGTTAGGGAGAGGGAGCTGCCCTTTCTCTCCTCCTCGGGCGCATGGGGAGCTCCGTCTCAGTGTCCTTCCTTGAAACCCGGGGACCTGAAGACTGTCTCACAGAGCTGGGGGACCCAGAGGGGGACACTTGCCATGTGGTCATCGATGCGCCGGGAATCCAGGTACACGAGGCCAGGAAGGTAGGCCCAGATGAACATCCTGTAATCCTCTGCCTTGGCAACGGGGTTCCCAGAGAGGCTGAGCGCCCGCAGGTCCTTGAATCGCCGCAGGTAGATGATCTGGGGAGCAGAGGGAGAAGACCCATTTTCTTGGCTGCTGCAGAGCTGAAAACACCCTTGGAAGTCCGTCTCTTTGGCACTCTGCCTGGCCTTAGTGCCTTCAGCACAGGGTGGAGTGACAGTGAGGAGGGCGCTTGGGGTTCCAGGCTGGATGGCTGGACTGAGGCCTTTGGAAAAGTCCTGGGCTTTCCAAAGAACCAGCAGACCTGGGTTCAAATGCTACCTGTGTGACAAGTTGCCTAACATCTGTGAGCCTCAATTTCTTTATCTGTAAAATGGGTATAAGGATGTGTTATAAGGGCCCATTGAAATGATCTACAAAATGTGTGTAGGAAAGTGCCTGACCTACTCAACAAATGGTGGTAGTTGTTGTTATCGTTATTATTGGTCACTCAGAATAGGTGTGCCTTTTTAGATTGTAAAGCCCTGTGAAAGGTCCAAATCTCTCACATTAAATGGAATCCAATTTATAGTTAACCTTGAATTAACTGGATAACAGCTAGTGGAACATTCCACTAACTGCTGTTTATTTTTCTTATGCCCTCTTTTTATTAAAATGGGGGAAATGTCAACCAGATAGCTAATACAAACATACCTCATTTTATTGTGCTTTGCAGATATTGCACTTTTCACAAATTGAAGGTTTGTGGCAACCTTTTACCGAGAAAGTCTACTGGCATCATTTTTTTCAACAGCATTTGCTCACGTCTTCTCTGTGTATCACATTTTGGTAATTCTTGCAATATTTCAAACTTTATTATTATTATTATTATTATTATTATTATTATTATTATTATATTGGGATGTCGGAAAAGTCAAGACGCATTTTTGCAACGAAAAATATAGAAAAAATACGTCATGACTTTTCCGACAACCCAATATTTGTGTGGTGATCTGTGATCAGTGATGTTACTATTGTAATTGCTTTGGGGCACCACAAACCACACCCATAAAAGATAGTGAACTTAATCAATAAATGAGGTATGCGTTCTGACTGCTCCGCCGACTAGCCATTCTCCCATCTCTCTCTCTCTCTCCTCAGGCCTCCCTATTCCCTGAGACACAACAATATTGAAATTAGGCCAAATAGTAACCCTACAATGGCTTCTAAGAGCTCAAGTGAAAGGAAGAATAGCAGGTCTCTCACTTTAAATCAAAGCTATAGAAATGATTAAGCTTAGTGAGGAAGGCATGTTGAAGCCAAGATAAGCCAAAAGCTAGGCCTCTTGACCAAATAGTTCCCCAAGTTGTGAATGCAAAGGAAAAATTCTTGAAGGAAATTAAAAGTGCTACTCCAGTGACTATGTGATAAGAAAGTCTTATTGCTGATATGGAGAAAATTTTAGTGGTCTGGATAGAAAATCAAACCAGACACAAAACTCCCTTAAGCCAAAGCCAAATCCAGAGCAAGGCCATAGTCTCTTCAATTCTGAGAAGGCTGAGAGAGATGAGGACGCTGCCGAAGAAAAGTTAAAAGCTAGCAGAGGTTGGTTCATGAGGTTTAAGGAAAGAAGCCGTCTCCATAACATAAAAGTGCAAGTGAAGCAGCAAGTGCCGATGGAGAAGCTGCAGCAAGTTATCCAGGAGATCTAGCTAAGATAATTAATGAAGATGGCTACACTACACAACAATGTAGACAAAACAGCCTTATACTGGAAGATGCCATATAAGACTTTCATAGCCAGGAGGAGAAGTCAGTGCCTGGCTTCAAAGCTTCAAAGTACAGGCTGACTCTCATTAGAAGCTAATACAGCTGGTGACTTTAAGTTGAAGCCAGTGCTCATTTATCATTCCAAAAATTCTAGGGTCCTTAAGAATTATGCTAAATCTACTCTGCCTGTGCTCTATGAATGGAACAACAAAGCCTGAATGACAGCACATCTGTTTACAACATGGTTTTCTGAATATTTTAAGCTCACTGTTGAGACCTACTGCTTAGAACAAAAGATTACTTTCAAAACATTACTGCTCATTGACAATGCACCTGGTCACTCCAAGAGTTCTTATGGAGATATATGAGACTAGTGTCATTTTCATGCTTGCTAACACAACATTCAGCCCATAGATAGGGGAGTAATTTCGACTTTCAAGTCTTATAATTTAAGAAATACATTTTGGGGCCAGCCGAGTGGCACGTTGGTTAAGAGTTGGCTTGGGACGCCAGCTCTGAGCAGCAGGGCCCTGGTTCGAATCCCACATTAGGGCAAGTGACACTGCGCTTTCTACAGCTTAGATGGTGAACAACAGCTCGACCTGGAGCCGGGCTACCGTGAGTCACCGGTGACGGCGTAGGCTGCAGTGAAGCTGCAGCGGGCTGCCATAAGCTACCGTGAGTGGCTGGCAGCTGACGTGAGTGGCTAGCAGCTGGCGTGAGCTGCCAAGAGCTGCTGTGAGCAGCCGTCCAGTGGCCGGTGACTGATCTGCCTCACCTGGGAAGAGCACAATGATAATACCAACGTGGGCCAGTGAAGCAACATCCTCCACAACTAGACTGAAGAACAAAAGAACAGCAACTTGTCTGTTCCCCTCCCCCAATTCCTCAATTAAAAAAAAAAAAATTTGTGCTGGGCTGGCCAAGTGGCGCATTGGTTAGGAGTTGGCTTGGGACGCCAGCTCTGAGCAGTAGGGCCCTGGTTCGGATCCCACATGATGGCCAGTGACACTGCGTCCTCTATAGCTAAGATGGTGAACAACAGCTCGACCTGGAGCAGGGCTGTTGCAAGTGGCCGGCGATGGTGTAGGCTGCAATGGGGTTGGCTGACAGCTGGCGTGTGCTTTCATGAGCTGCCGTGAGCCACCATGAGTGGCTGTCTAATGACTGGCGTGTGGCTGCCTAACCCGGGAAGAGTGCAATGATAATACCAACATGGGCCAGTGAAGCAACGTCCTCCATAACTAGACTGAAAAACCAAAGGACAGCAACTTGTATGTTCCCCTTCCCCCAATTTCCCCAATTAAAAAAAGAAAAGAAAAAGAATAGTTCGTGTTTCATGGGAAGAGGTCAAAATAGCAACATTAATAGGAGTTTGGAAGAAGTTGATTCCAGCCCTCATGGATGACTTTGAGGGGTTCAAGACTTCAGTGGGGGAAGTAACTGCAGATGTGGTGAAAACAGCAAGGGAACTAGAAGTAGAGCCTGAAGATGCCACAGAATTGCTGCAATCTCATGATAAAACTTGAACAGATGCTTTTTATGCATAAATAAAGAAAGTGGTTTCTTGAGATGAAATCCACTCCTGGTGAAGGTGCTGTGAAGATTATTAAAATGACAACAAAGGTCTTAGAACATTATATAAACTTAGTTGACGAAGCAGCTGCAGGGTTTGAGAGGATTGACTCCAATTTTGAAAGTTGTTCTGTGGGTATAATGCTATGAAACAGCATCGTGTGCTACAGAGAAATCGTTCATGAAAGAAAGAGTCAATCGATGCAGGAAACTTCATAGTTGACTTATTTTAAGAAATGCCACCCCAACCTTCAACAACCACCACCCTGATCAGTCAGGAGCCATCAACATCGAGGCAAGACCCTCCATCAGCAAAAAGATTAACACTCACTGAAGGCTCAGATGATGGTTAGTATTGTTTAGCAATGAAGTATTTTTTATAGTGAAACTTTTAAAATTAAATGTATTGGGTAACATTGGTTAATAACCTTATATAAATTTCAGGTATACATCTTTATAATACAACGTCTGTCTACTCTATTGTGTGCTCACACCGGAAGTCTAGTCTCCTGTCACCTTGTATTTGATTCACTTTACCCTCTTTGTCCTCCCCGCAGTCCCCTTCCCTATTGGTAACTACCATTCTGTTTGTTGTCTGCATCTGAGTTTGTTGCAAGAGAATATATTTTAATTAAGGTATGTATATTGTTTGTTTGTTTTTTAATTTGGGGAATTGGGGGATGGGAACAGTGCTGGGCAATTGGGGGAAGGGGAACAGACAAGTTGCTGTCCTTTTTTTTTTGTTCTTCAGTCTAGTTGTAGAGGACGTTGCTTCACTGGCCCACGTTGGTACCATCATTGTGCTCTTCCTGGGTGAGGTAGATCAGTCGCCGGCTTCTGGACGGCCGCTCACGGTGGCTGCTGGCTGCTAGCGCTGGCTGCTGGCTACACACAGTAGCCCATGGCAACCCACTGCAGCAGTGGCCGCAGCCTACGCCGTCACCTACGCCGTCGCAGGTGACTCACGGCAGCCCAGCTCCAGGTTGAGCTGCTGTTCAGCATCTTAGCTGTAGAGGGCAGTGTCACTGGCCCTCATATGTGAGATCCAAACCGGGGCCTTCTGGCATCCCAAGCCAGCTCTTAACCACCGTGCCACTCGATCGGCCCTGTACATTGTTTTTAGATGTAATGCTGTTGCACACTTACTAGACTACAGTATAGTGTAAACATATCTTTTATATGCCCTGGGAAACCAAAAAATTCATGTGACTCACTTTATTTTGATATTTGCTTTATTGCAGTGGTCTGGAACCAAACCCACAATATCTCCAAGGTGTGCCTGTATTTCATTTGATAGCAACTTCTGAACACCTAGATACTGTTCTATGCAAAAGGCAGAAAAGAAACCTAGCATGCTTTTCTGATGGAATTTTTCAATCATTTATGTATTCATTCAACAAACATTATTAAGCACCTACCAGGCCTCAGGCACATGCTAGGCCTTGGAGAGGTAGGGGGTACAAAGCCCACGTGGTCCCTGCCCTTATTGCAGGAGCTTACATTCTAGGAGTAGGGCACAAGAATGTTTTTAAAAGTAAATAAAATCATTACTTTTTGAGGTAAGCGCTGTAAAAACATAAAGATTGGTCATGAGAGAAAATAACAGGGAGGTCTTTTTCAGTTAGGGAACTCAGAGGTCTCTGAGGGCAGAGGAGTGCATTTCTGGAGGCAAACACAGCACAAAGACCCTGAAGCAGGAGAGAACTTGGCATGCAACAGGAATTCAGCCAGGCCAGGGTGGCTGCAGTGTGGCAGGGAGGGGGCTGGGGCAGGACCTGAGGCAAGATTGGCAACAAGGTCAGGGCTGATGCATGTAAGACTTGGGTCAAAGCTGCAGTCACAAGTTTGGATTTTGTTCTAAGAACAATGGAAGCCATTAAATTTTGAAGTGTATAGGGGTGGGGAGATAGGATGTGATTTAATTTTTAAGAGGTCTCCCAGTGAAATTTCATTTTTCATCTTTTAGATTGTTAAAGAGAGAATGGGTTGATAACCAAGTATGTTGTGGAAGGTGAGAGGAAATAGGCCTTCTCATAATTGCTAGTGGATTTGTAAATAGTTTCACTTCTATAGATGAAAATGTGGCAAGATCCATCAAAATAAAAAATGTGCAATGCCCCAGACCCGGCAATTCCACATGGACTCACACAGGTGCAAAGTAAGCCCTGTTCAAGGACATTCATTATTGCCTGTGTTTAACGACATGAGGCTGGAAACAACCTAAGTGTCCACCTATTGGGGGACTAGAAAAATACAGTGTGCCACATCTAAGCGAAGGAATGGTCCAGCAGAGGGGGAACTGATGACTCAGAAAGAGAGCGAATGACCGAAGGCAGGCACTTGGAGGGTAGCCAGACAGATATGGCAATCATGTGAAACTTTTAAATAAGATGCCTGGAAAGATACATGCAACTTAGAAGCAGCTGTGGCCTTTGGAAGGTGCCAGGATCGAGAGGGGCTCTTCCCTGTGTTCCCTGAGTTCTGCTGAAACATCTGCTTGTTTTTAATGCAATAAACAGGTACTAAAAGAAGCCTAGTAAGTAAATAAACAAGAAAGTATATAAGTAGATGTTAGATACACAGTGCAGGTAAGGGCTAAAATCACAGATGCTCAGGGTTTGCAGGTTATTAAGTCAGGACTCTCTGGGTCAAGCCACCAAGGGGGCTGGCACCTGATTCGGTGAAGAGGATGCAGGGACTCCAGCATCTTTGGCATGTGGCCGTGCCTCCAGGACAATGAGATCTAGGCCCAGATACCTCAGTACTCCCTGGCAGCTTCTCCCTAGGCGTCTTCTTCCTTCTTCTTGCTCTCTGGGGACCAGCTTTATCTGCTTTTCCTCTGTATTCATGGCGGGCTACCTGGTACCCAACATCCCACTGGGAAACGGGGATAGAGTTTCTTCCTGCCAGTCCCTGAAGGGGTGGAATGGGAGAGTGCCCAAGGTCAGGGGAGGGAGTGCGGTGTCCAGCAGGGCTGGTGCATGGACTGGGAGTGGGTACCCACCTCTGAGTTTAGGTCTGGGTCTTCATGAGGGACAGAGCCTCAGGTCCACTGAAGTCTCCAATGTCCAAGGGATAACAAGTCAGATAATTTACCTATAGGCCTGGGGGGTGTTGGACCTACCTAGACAGGAACAGCTGGTAAATGCTCAAAGAGGTTTTCAAACAGCAAGATTTAGGGCTTTTGGGGGGTAGCCCTTCATCTGAAAATTCCTGAATAACCATTACTTTCTGTGTACCTACTAGGTGCCAGGCCCTGTATTAGCTACTTAGCACTCTCTAATTGATTCAACCCTCACAACAACCTATGGGGGAGACTGCTGTTATTCTCATTTTACAGTTGGGCAAATAGGCCCCCAGAACACCAAGTCCCTGGCTCAAGGTGAGACAGTTGGTAGCTGATGAAATCTCAGTTCTCGACTCAGTTCACGTGGACCCTTTGGACTCAGCTGTCCTGTTGCCACCACCAAGCAGAAGCAGGCTGAGTAATCAGCATCTGAACCCTGAAAAGAGCGCCGGTTTGGTTTACATCCCCCTGTCTGGTGTATGTGGCAAACTTCCCAGACTACACAGCCTCTGGGGTTCAGCCCCCTGGACAGATTTACCCACTCCAGGCCATTCATCGAAGCCACCCAGCCTGACCATCCCCCAGTTCTGATATTGCTTGAGGGTGGGTGTGGGCTCTGATCAGAACAAAGGGTCTCTGCTGGGAGGTGAGTTCCTGTGCTCTCTGTCCTGCTACATGTAGACAAGGAAGCCTGCAGCCTTGCTGACTATAGCCACGGAAAGAACCAGCACAGGGAGATGCTGAAGACAGCAGAGCCAAGAGGCAGAAGGCACCTGCACCCTTGAAGCCCTGCCATAAGCCTGCCCTTCTTCACAGCACTAGTCATCACAGTGCTGAATGTCCCTGTTTGCTGGTGGTGGGCCCTCGGCACACTCTGGGCTTAGCTGCAGCTGTGCTGGACTCCTGCTGATAATGCCCATCTCATCCCCGCTCCGTGCCTCAGCTCTCTGAGGCCCCGCAGAAGCAAGGATAAAAAGGGGTTAATCTCTGGGGTGTCCCTCAGGCTCTGCTCTTCAGGTGTTCACTTCTGGGAGTCATTCTGGACACTCTGGAGGGCCCAGCAGAAGGTTGCCCCCATCACCTGAGCAGCAATCTCAGTATCGCACCTGCACATAGGTTTTTCCTACCCTCTGGCTCACTGCAGCTTCCTGAGATCACCTGCCCAACACACCACCTCATCCAAGTCCTTGTGTCAGCGACACTGTCTTTCTGATGGCGTTATCCTTGCTTCACTCACTCACATGATCCCCCTCAAATCCATCCTCATGGTGGCAGAGTTTCCTTCCAAAACACAGAATTGCCCTGGACACATGGAAGCACAAAAGCCTCCACGGCTCCCCTCTGCTGTCCTGGGCACTGCTCTACACCACACCCCTTGACCTCCTCCAGTGACCTTGGGCTCCTTGACTGGATGTGCAATCCCAGGCAGGCACGTCAAGCTCATCTCCTGGCCTTGGTTTCCTCAAGACATGCCCTTCTCCCAGGAAGCCTTGTCCTTCTACTCTATGGCAAAATTCCAAACATCTTTCAGTCTTATTCAAAAATCACTTCACCTCTCCTGACACTCTCTCAGGAAGGATCTTGGCAAAGACGGTCCTCCCTTTGTTACGAAAGTACTCCAGTCTGACACTGAATGCAGTGCCTGCCTCACACTCATCACCTCCCTTGATTCCTGGCAAGTAGATTATGGCCATTATCTCCACTTTACAGATGAGGAAACTGAGGTGTAGAAGGCTCAAGCCTTAGGGCATGGGGCTGGGATTTGGACCCCGGCCACCTGACTGACCTAAGCAGAAAAGGAATCTTGAAAGGGTATTGGACAGCTCCTAGGATTGACTGGCAGGCTGAAAAAACAGGTCCCAGCAACAGTTCCGATCCAGGAAAAGCCTGGTAATGTTACCTCTAACACAGGACCTTCATGAATGATGCCACACCCCCAGTTGCTGGGATCACGGCCCCGCTTGTTGCTGCAAACCTGTTGTGGGAGTGGACAGGGAGGCGGCCCACCTTTCCCCAAATGACCAACGAACCTTCCCCCTCATACATACACACCCCTGACACCCCGGGGGTGGACACAGGCTCCTTGTTACTTTGTGTGTCTTGATTATGTAGGTGTGTGCTGGGCACCCCCAAAGGGACTGTCCCTTTGGTCTCTGTACCCGCTGAGCACAGGCCAAATGCCCCACATCCACCTTAGCAAAGGTTTGGTGAGGGTGGGGCTCAGGGAAAGAAAGAGACCCAAGGCAGGGCACACAGCGGCACCCCCAGATGGGCTTTCATGGGTTAGGCATGTTGTTTAAACATTATCAAAACTCTTGTAGAGTAATCTAGATTCCCAGCTTTTCTAGGACAAAGGGGAGAGCTAGAAGGCTGAGCCTGCATATTCCCTTGCCACAGACCCCCAGGCCTCAGCTCCTGCCCCAACCTCAGCCGGGCCCTGAGCTCACGTTCATCATGTTGCCGATCTGGTTGTTGCCAAGTGACAGCACCTGCAGCTTGACTAGGGCATCCAGAGAGTCAATCTTGGAGATACGGTTGTTGAACAGGCTCAGGTCCTCTAGGTTTACCAGGGCATCCAGCCCCTCGATGGCCTCAATGTTGTTGAAGGACAGGTCTGGAAGAAAGAGGGCCATGAGGACTGAGTGACAGGTAAGAGGTTGGGTTCTCCTGAAACAAACCATCAGGGCTACTTGTGTGCTGTGAGCCAGCAGCACCAAGTCATCAGGCCGGGAACCGACTCTGTCTGGCCGCTGATGGTCTAGAAGCCGAGCATTGATTCCTTCCTGTGGCTTCAGACTTTCATTGCCCCCTCCAGTCCTGCTGGCTGGGGACACATGCCTGTGCTCTGTCACTGTCCTGAGATGGAAATGCTCACTGGCAGGTCTGCCACAATGTATCTTGGGGTGGGGGAGACAGGTGGGAGTGTCTCCTTCCCTCACTCCTATGGGTGTTTTAATAATAATACCTGTCTGTTTCGCGTTCACCAGTTTATCGAGTGCTTGTGTGTACATCCCCAGACAACAGCCTTGAGTGGCAGTTTGGAGTTTCTCTCCCCATTTGCTCAGATGGGAAGCTGAAGCTCAGAAAGGCTCAGTGGTTTGCCCCGAACCACACAGCTAACTACGATGGTGCCAACAGCTCATCCAGGGCTCCTGCCTGGGCAGGCGGCAGGCCAAGCTCTTCAAGCTATATCACAGCTGACTCAGGCGTCCCCCTCCCTGCCAAGTCCAAGCCCAAGCTCAGCTGAGATGGCAGGATCCTCTTTAACCCAAGTTTCATATCTTTGGGAATAAACCTGAATGTTCTCCACCACAGGTTTTTGGTTGGGGTTGGGGTTGGGGTTGCAACCCTGGCTGGAACGCCAATAGCCCAGATGCCCAAACTGGGGATTTTCCATGAACTTGGAAATATGATCATGATAGCTGCAAGCCATCCCATTAAAAAGGTGATTTGGAGAGTCGGTTTATCCACATCTTAATTCAGCCTCCTTGGTATATCGGGGGATGCTCACCTGTTGACAGCTGAGACTATAAGGATAATTTAACATCCCTTTCTCTATGCTGGGCTCTTTAAGTGCATAACCTCATTTAATCCTCACAGCATAGGTGTCACCCTTGTATTTTATAGATGAGGAAACCAAGATTCAAAGGGGCCTGGTGGTAATATGCTCAAGATCACACAGCACATAAAGAAACTGAGGATCAGAGGGCTGAGGAAACTTGTGAAAAATCTGTCAGTACATGAGCAGAGCTGGGATGTGCACTGGGGTCTGCAAAATGCCAAGCCTGCCACCTCCTTTCCCACTGTGCGGCCAGGTTCTGTTTCTTGGACGCCTGACCACTAGCACTAGAACCAGTGGTGTGATGCAGGTAAATGTTTAACAATGGGGGGTGCAGTGAGGGAAGCTCTGATTTGTGGCACTTGCTGATTTCTGTGGTGTAAATACTCCCACCACGGCCAATTTCAAGCTACCAAGAAGATATCTCTGAATGCAAAAGTAGGGTGAGATGAGCAGTCAGCTTCTCAGGGCCACACACGGCAACTCCAGCCCATCCTAGCGCTGGGGCAGCTGCTGGTGGTGGGCCACCAGCAGGGCTTGTGCATGTTGGTGGGGGCTGTGCTGAACCATCAGAGCACCATCCCCCCAGCTCCTGCATCCCAGGGATCCCGCTCTTCCGGCTGTGGTTAGGTCCCTGGGCTAGTGCTGTGGCTGGACAAGGGCTGGCTTCTGACCCTCTGAGGGGGTAGGCTAACCAGAACTTTCCCCTCCTGCTTTCTCACCCAGACACCACAGAATGCTGGGCATCACAGGAGCACCTAACAGAAATCTGTGGTACTTTATAGCCAAGGGGCCTTGTAGGTCTTGCCTAAAAGCACAGCATTCAGACAGCCGATGCCTGGCAGGCCTTCCAGGGCAGGCACGGCTCAGGGTCTGGGCTGACCCAGCAGCCTCTTCTCCTCCTTCATCTCCTAGAGATAGATGACTCCTGGTGATGCAGTTGTGCTGCCAAGCCCGGGACTCAGCATGAATGAGTGCTAGGGTGCCGGAAATGGGTGTCAGAAGGGGTGCCTGGGCCTAGCGGTCAGGAGCCCTGGCTGTGGTCTGCCTCTGCTGCTTGTAGCATGTGACTCCCTCAAGCCCATCAGCCTCTCAGCCTCCACTGCTGCATCTGTGAAATGGCAGCATAATCCCGCCTGTGGGCCTGCTGTGGGCTGTCAACTGTCAGCGCAATTGTAGGGGAAAGGATTTTGCAAATTGAGAGGTCCACCAATGCCCCAGGCTGCTCTTTACAAGGAAGCAGCCTGCAGGATGGAGGGAGCGTGGACTTTGGGGTCGGACAGGCGTGGGCTGGCATCCCAGCTCTGCTCCTTCTTGGTGGTGAAGCTTCGAGCAAGTGCCTTGGCCTCTTGGAGCCTCAGTTCCTCTTCAGTAGATTGGGACTGTAACATATACCTATCTTTTAGGTTTGCTGCAAGAGCTAAACAAGACAGTTAAAAAGAGCTCTCCAGCCAGGCCCCTCTCCCTGTTAGGTGCCCACCTGCCCCTCACCAGCTGTGAGGCTGCCTCTGAAGGCCAGCAGGTGGACACAGTTCATCAAGACCCCTGAGGTCTCAGCAGTGAGGGTCAGAGCTCCAGAGTCAAGCAGAGCTGTGCTGGGAGCCAGGTATCCCTACGACTCTCTGTGACCTCAATTTGCTTATCTTTACAATGGGGAAGCTGTATGGATTAAATGATCTCATATGAAAAGCATACAGGGGCCGGCTGAGTGGCTCAGTTGGTTAAGAGCTCGCTCAAGAGTTTGAGCTCTGAGCAACAGTGGTTCGAGTCAGCCCGAGCTGAGCAGTCGTGAGCTGCCAACAGGTGGCGGGATGGCTCAGCTAAAAAAAAAAAAAGCATACAGGCCCATGCTTAGCAGGTATTGGGATGTCGGAAATGTCATGACATATTTTGTCTATATTTTTCAAAGGTCATGTATTTATATAAAGAACAAAGATCAATCAATGATATATTGCCCATTTTGTTCAATAACCTCTTGCCATCTTTCAGTGAGCTTCATAATTCCTTGTTCATGGAAGGACCTGTCTTTATTTGAGAAAAACTGAACAAGGTGCTGGTTTACAACCTCATCTAAATTGAATGTTATACCACGCAAGGAGCTTTGAAGAGAGCGAAACAAGTGGAAGTCTGACGGCACAAGGCCAGGAGAGTATGGTGGGTGTGGCAACACATCCCATCCAAGCTCCAATAATTTTTGACGGGTGATGAAACTTGTGTGTGGTCTCGCGTTGTCGCGATGGAACACAACTCCTTTACAATTAACAAGCTCTGGACGTTTCTGGATGATGGATTCGTTCAAACTGTCCAATTGACAACGGTACACATTTGAATTGATTGTTTGGTTCCTTGGTAGGAGCTTGAAAAACACAACACCTTTAAAATCCCACCACACTGAGAGCATAACCTTCCTCTGATAAATGTCTGCTTTCGATGTCGTTTTAGTTGAATCATCACGTCGGGACCAAGACTGTTTGCACACCGCATTGTTGTAAACAATCCACTTCTCATCACCAGTTATCAGTCGCTTCAAAAAAAGGATTGTTTTCCTCACGTTTGATGAGCATATAGGAGATGTTTATACGTGTTGGCAAATGAACTTCTTTGAGTTCATGCGGAACCCAAATATTGAGCTTGCTTATGTATCCCAGCTTCTTCAGATGGTTGTGAATGCTTGAATGATGGATGTTCAATGTTTCTGCAATCTCTTGTGCCGTGTAACGTGAGTTTGACTCAATCAATGTCTTTATTTTGTCATCATCAACCTCAGTGGGCCTCCCTGACCAAGGAGCGTCGTTGAGATCAAAATCACCGGCACAGAATTTCGTGAACCATCATCGTTGGCACTGATGTTCTTGCAGAGCACTGTCATTGTAAACTTTATGCAACTTTTCACAAGCTTGACATGCATTCTTCCCTTTATGGAAGTAAAACAGTAAAATATGGCAAAAATGCACAGTTTGGTCTTCCATCTTCAACTTGTTAAATCTCCAAAACACAACCAAATTGCTCAATTGTTTTTTAGAATGAAGCTAGAACTATCAGCTGTCAAATGACATAGCAATAACATAGGTACGAATGACTCTAGTACTTCCAAAAAAGAACTAGTACCATCTGTTGCAAACATGCATCATGACTTTTCCAACAACCCAAAAGTAAATGCAACTGGCAGCTGTGATGATTATTTTTGGTTTGATCTGAGCTCCCCTGGCTGGTAGGGCCCATGGTTACCTGACAACCTGAGTCTAGAGTAACTAGAAGGAATCCAGGGCTGCTCCGTTGATCTCCTCCCTAGTTGGGAGGCAGGTGGGAGCAGAATAATCTGTCCTGGCTCGTCTTTGCTGTGCTTACCCAGCACAGGCCCTGGGCTTTTAAAACGAGCTCCCAGCAGACAGAGCTTCTGCTGCACTTGGGCGAATGGTGGGTCAGCAGCAGAGTATTGTCTGGGGAGACAATTACCCAGGCGAGGATTACCTTGGAAGGCTGTCACCTTTGATTAGGGCGGACACACACAGGAAGGGGCCTTACCTAGCCAGACCAGGTGTGTGAGGTTCTCCAGGCCCTCGATCCTCTCAATGATGTTATTGTCCAGCTGCAGCTTCCTCAAGCTCTCAAACTGCCAGAGGTTGTCAATGCGGAGGATGTCTGAAATAATCAGAGGAGATGCTTCAGCTGGCTCCAGCCTCAGCTTAGGGTTAGAGTTCAGTACAAGTGTATTAGAGGACCAAGACGACCAATGCTGACCATACATAAGTCCCACAATTCTCTGTCTTGCCCTAGGGATGTGGGCTGAGCACTGAGAAGCTCCGAGTCCCTATTCGTGTACAGTGGGTAGTGATCAGGGTCACAGCAGGACCTAATAGGTCTGTCGGGGGGGGTAGGGGGGGTCGGTGTGAAGGTGGGTGGAACCTGCTGGGGCACAGGACTCACTCACGCTGCCTCTAGGGCCAGGCTAGGGGGTTGCCTGGGAGGCCAGAAGGACTTGGGGCCCAGGACACAGGGCACAGGCAGGGGTACTCCTTCTTCCTTCTGCCACATGACAAAGAGAATCAAGGCTGAAGGGTGAATATCTCCTTATGCATGGTTGGTGGGAGGACGAGTCAACTAGTTCAGCCATTTTGGAGGGCAATTGAGCCATGTTTACTGAAATATTTAATGTCTGTGCCCTTTGGCTTTGCAGTTTCTCTACTTGGAATCTGTTTGCAAAGATACTTGTGTATGTGCCCAAAGAAATACCTTATAGGCACATGAGGGGCAGAAAGATAGGGGGAATCTCCAACGTCCATACATGGAGAATATGAAAAACTGCCCATACCATACAGGCAGGTTTCTCATGTTACCGAAGCCCCTGTCCCTGGGGTCCCTGAAGACCACCTTCACAGTGACACAGTCAACTATTCCTTTGCTCCTTACACCAGGCAGAGTTTGGTTTCTGTCACTGGCAGCCAGAAGAGTTCTGAAAACACTTACGCATAAATACACACAGTGTACGTAAAATTCTAGAGGCCTATACCTGTCCCCAGTTTTTTCTAGAAGCCACAAATAGCTCTGTTGCTTATATGCCCCTTTTTTCTATCTGTACTTTTTGTAATGATTTCTAAAACTTGTAAAATTAGAATATGCTCATTAAAAGACTGAAATAATATAGAAGTGAAAGAGGTAAAAAAAAAAAAAGCGCCCTTCATAACCACATATTTGGGGCAGCAGTTTGAATATTCATTCAGAGGGGTAGGGTTTGCCCTGAGGCTGTGAGGTCCTTGGGGAAGCAGACAGGCTCTTCCAGCTGCCCTCTTCAAGCCAGGTCTCCATGGGGTGAATGGACAGCATTTCTCTAACCCAGGGTCCTGTCTCCCCTGGGGCCCCAGGGCCAGGTGGGCCTGGTGTCTGTTCCCCAGGTCTCTGTGGCCAGACTTCCCAGAATGATGCCAGCTACCGACCCTCCTTGTGCTTCTGGGGCAGGGCCCAGTTCCACCCCAGGACCTCAGCAATCTCCCATCCTGGTCTGGGCTTTCCAGTCACCGTCCCTGGTCCTGGCCCTTGGCTGTGGCTGACTTCCTGCAGATACCACTCCCATGGGGGGGCTCCCACACTCCTGGGTGCTCTGCCTGGTACAGTTGCATGTTGGCTTTTTGCTACACATCAGTAGTTCATATGGAAAAGCCAAACAACACAACAAAACCAGGATGGAGTCAGCGGTTGGCTCTAAATGAGTTACCAGCATGAGAGGATTGCCCCCGAAGCCAATTTAATCTTCAGCATAAGACATGGGATCCTCCTCTACTGCCACCATCTTGGCCCCAGCCCATCATCATTGCTCCTTGGCCCATAGCAGCAGCTGTCTCACTAGGCTGCTGCTCTGGCCCTTGGAGCCCCCAGTCTACCCTCCTGCAGCCAGTGGGATCCTGTGAAAACTAAATCCCATTCTGTCCTTCCTCTGCTTAGGACCCTCCCAGGGCTCCCAACTCACTCACTACACAAGCCAAACACCCTCTCTTAGCCCCACAGGCCGATGCTAGCTGACCCCAGGACCTCTCTGACCTGTGTCCACACACAGCCTCTGCACGGGCTATTCCCTCTGCCTTGGACACTTTCCCTGGATCTCCACATGACTCCTTCCCTCATCTCCTTCTAGTCTTTGCTCAGTTGTCACTGTCTCTGACCACCCAATAAAACACTGCACCCCACCCCCAGTTCCCTCTTGCTCCTCTCCTTACTTTCTGTTCCTCCATAGCACATATTACTTTAGCACACACTATTATTTTCATTCATTTTATTTTACCTGTGTCCCTCACTTGAGTGTCAGCTCCATGAGGACAGGGCTTTATGGTCTTTGTTGGTCACAGCTGAATCCCTAGTACCTAGAATAGCACCTGGCATTAACAAGTACTTGATAACTACTGGCTAAAGGAACCTGAGTTTGGGGAGGGGGAGCAAAAGGAAATTGGTTAACCCTAAAGCCCCCTCTGGTGACAACCATGTTGCAATCCCTTTAACCTTTCACCACTGAGGGGACTGAGGCTCAGGGGCCCTTACTGCCCTGGGAGGCCAGCTGACTCCCGCAGAGCTGAGATCCGCCCTGGAGGCCGTGCTCTGGGGAGGCCTGTGGGCTTTGTGCTGCAGGGACCAGGGCCTTGCCCACTGCTGGGTCTTCAGGGTCTGGCACAGGCTGGCTGAGGCAGGGCCTCAGGGAGGATGAAGAGGGCAAAGGGGGTCACATATATGGTGATGGAAGGACACTAGACTTCCAGTGGTGAGCACACAATAAGAGTATAGATGTTGTGTTATAAAGATGTACGCCTGAAATTTATATAAGGTTATTAAACAATGTTACCCAGTAAATTTAATTTTTAGAAAAGAGACATCCCCCCCCCACACACACACACACAAACCTGCCAACAACAACAACAAAAAGGAATCTCTTGTTGAGTGGTCGACCCGACAGGCCAGCACAGGAGCCCAGGATGGGCAGGAATGTGACTCTGACCAGGTCACTCTGCTGTGGCCGCCTGCACAGTACAGGAGGGGCTGCAGGACCCCTGCCCACTGTCCCACTTCCTCTCATACCCCTCCCTGGCCTTTCTGAGTGAACCAGGCACTGTGTACATGTTGTCTTTCCAGCACTTGAGACAGGGACTGCAATCATCCCACTTCACAGATGGGGATGCTAAGGCACTGACGATCTACCTGGTCCCCAGCCACATCTTCCCACTAGGCTGGCCTGCCCCTCGAGGTGCCTCCCTGCCTCATGGCCCCGTGGCCCTTCAGTTTCCTGCCCCTGCTTTGAAGATGCTCTCCAAGTGCATTCCTCCTCCTCCTCCCCACAGCTCCTGCCTGACTGCTTGGGACCACCCTCTGGGTGCCACCTGCCAGGGGCCCTGCTCCAAGGACACCAAGGCCTTTGTGGTTCACTTAGATTTGGAGTGGGAGAATTTAATCTTTTTATATAGACTTTACATGGAATTCTGTGGCTGGTATGTGGCATGGGGAAAGTCAGGGGCCCCGCCTGGTGCACCACCGCACCTCCCCCGACCCAGGATACTCACTCTGGAAATCCAGCTTCAGGGAGAGGACGTCCTTAAAGAGGATGCCCTCCTGCTTGGCCAGCTGTCCGGCTTCCTCTTGTGGGCCCTGCTCCCTGACAACCAGCTTCAGCATGTCGTCGTCCATCACTCTTGGCTCCAGTGAGTTGCACAGCAGGTTCATCTTCCCTGAAAAACATCATGTTCCTCTTCCACAGTCCGCTTCTCCCTTTGTGTGAGGACAGGGGCTGGTTGGCATCCTTTTAAGGTGGTGTGGAGCACTGTGGCAGCTAAGGACATGCCAAATGCTGTCCATTGCAGCTAGGGATTCGTACCTTTGCACCAAGGCTGCTCCAGGGCTTCCCATGGCCACCATCTATGCCCACCCTGCCTGGTGCCATTCCTCAGGGGCGTACCTCTTGGCCCCACGACCGTAGCCGTGACCCTACTCCACACAAGTGGACTGGTGTCCACACTGGTCTCCTGAGCCTTTGGAGCTCAGCTCCCTTATGGCATGGCCATATTGGGCCTTTGGCTTTCTGTGCCCACCCTCATTCAGGTTTCTTGGCACCAACCGCTGACCATGACCCTTGGCAGCCCCAGCCAGGCATACAGGCCGCAGCTCCTCTTCTTTGAGAGCTTCATCTCTTCCAGGCAATTATGTCTGTACTTCCCCTCCCCCTCCCTGCACCACAAGCTGCCCAGTGTGTGGGTGGATACCAATTCTAGTTGGCTGAATAGCCATGTTCTCCCCATGATAAATGTGAGCTTGGGATACAGGACGAGAATGCCCATCAGAGCTGGCTGCTTGGGGTGGAGAGGAACTGGGGGGCTGTGGGCTGGTCAGGCACATGGTTAAGCAGAGAGAGCCAGACAAGGATGAGGCAGATGGACAGAGAGAAGCAGAGATGGGAACCTGGGTGATCCAAGAACAAAAGATAAAAGGATAGACAGACGGATACAAATAGAGGCTACCTTCTTCTTGTTGGCTTTTTGGCCCCTAATGTCCCTAAGTTCAGGCTTTATGAGGGTTTCTGTGGTCCTTTCTGTGAGAGTTTCCTGACTTCTTGCATTAAATCCTCTTTTACTTAAACTAACTCCAGTAGGTTTCTGTTGCTAACGGTCAAAGGGATTTGGTTGAGATACCGCAGGCAGAGGTGAGAGCTGTGGATTTGGTCACACTAGGAGGCTGACACTGGGATGCTATTCCTGGCTGGACAGAGCCACAGCCCTGGGAATCGGGGGTACCCAACCTCGTTCTCATCACCAACCCTCTTAGTGAGAACACCCAGAAGGGCTGGATCTCCAGGAAGGCCCTCTCCTGTCAGTTTACAGGTAACTCCCAGATTCTGTCTCCTGAACCCTCTGGAAATGCAGTCCTCCCTTCTACTTTCCACCCCTGCTTCTTACGTCCCCACTGGCTTCACCTTCTACCTTTGTCTGCATGTGTCCCCAATATCCAGGCCTCCGTGAACCTCCTGTCCTCTCTGCCCTGCTAGTTCTTGATGCTGGGTAACCCCTGTGCTCTGTCCTTTTTCCACTGAGTGCTGCTTAGAGAGATTCCTGGTGGTGGGCTGATAGTGTCCACCACAAACCCAGATGCACCTGGCAGTCTTGCAACCTGGTCTTAGAGACTGCCACTGTCCTGCTGCCTCCCTTCCTCCTCTCCCACCACCCACTTGAATGCAGCTTATGCAAATATGCATCTTTAATTTCTGGACTGCGCATGATCAAATGTCCCAGTGCCTTTAACTCTCATGCATATTTTCCTTCTACCCCCAGAGGTGGCATAGCTTCCCCTAAACCTACTACCTGATCCCTACAACCCCACCCCATGCCCCATCTCCACCTGTGCCTTCCTTCCATCTTCCCATTCTTAACAATCTGTCCACAATGGCTCCATCTCCTTAGGGCGATTGATTCATTACACCTCCCCCACCCCCAAAACTGTTTCAAGTCCTCTGCTTCTCTCCATCACCCCACTCTTCTGAACAAATTTTTCTAAGATATCCTATAACTTGACATCATGTTGCCTTTGGGGGAATTTTGATGTGCTATATGTAGAAGATGTTACCTGCAAAGTATTTGTGATTTTTCAAAGGAAGGTGCTACACATTGGGAAATTATTTTTAATTCTTATTTCAAAACTTTAATTAACTGACTTCTCATCCCTCCCACATCATCAAGGCCTGGCACCTCTGGCAGATCAAGCTTGCTTGCAGTCAAGCCCACAATCGCTGCAATGTGGAATCACATTGCACATAGGGCAGGATTTGGATCCTGACGGTGCATCCTTTGGCAATTCACCTCACCTGTCTAAGTCTTGGATTTCCCATCCATAAAAGATGAACATTTCTTCCCTCCTACATTTGTTTAAGATCATTTATTTAGTCCACACACGTAATGAATAGCTACTACATGTTGTGACTACAGCGGACAGATCTCCTAACCTCTGTTTCAGACATGAACCAGATAATCATACAAATATTTAATTACAAACCATGATAAGTTTATAGGTACAGGGAACTATGACAGCACACATTAGGGCACCTGGCCTGGCCAGGGGAGACAGGGCTGAGATCTGAAGATGAGTAGGAAAGAAGGAAGAGCGAACTGCGCAATGAGGGCCCGGAGGTGGGAGAGAACAGACATGTTTCACTTTGACTGAAGTGATGCAAGTTTGGAGAGGACTCCAGGAGTTCTATTATTATCCTAGGATTCCTGGGAAGCTTTTGGGGTTTAATACGGGCAGTGAAATTATCTGATTTTAATTTTAGGAAACTCATTCTGGCTGTACTATTGAGAATGGCAAGAGTCATGAGGTGAGAGATGACCAGGCTGGTGGTAAGACGTGGATCTCTAGGAACTTAATTTATATGCAGGACTAGTCATCCACAGTTTTCAGATAAGAAAGTGGAATCCAGTTAGAAAAGTTAAGTAACATGCCCAAGTTTATACATCTAATGTATGGCAGAGGAGAACATGACTCCAGGGCCATCTTCTTAATCATGCCTCAACTGTACCCAGGGCACTATAGACCATCATTGTCAGAGCTCACAATGTTTCTCAAAGCTGTTCTGGGTCAGGGCCAAGGTCCGAAAATCCTTCCCTAAGGGGATTTTTATCATTAATTTACCACCCAATCCGAGTTCCTGTTGACTTGCCTGATGATAGTTCTGTTGGTGAAGACCACAGGTAGGAGGTGGGGGAATGCACCACTGTCAATGCAGTAGCCTTCTCACGGAGAAACAGATCCAGAGTTGTCCTGGAAATAAACAATCTGGAATCAACTGAATCTGAAAAATATAGCCCCTATTGGATATGAATTACGAAGAATAAAACCAATTGGCCCCTGTGGTTTATTGACTGCTTACTGTGTACTTAGTGCACATGCATTGTTTAATTACATGTCAGCTCTGGAGGCCAGAGACTCCTAGAGAGGAGAATCCTAATGCCCTAATTTCCCAAATAGGGAAACTGAGACCCAGGAGAGGAAGGAAATTGTCCAAAGTCATGCAACAAGCAACTGACAAGACAGACATGGAACTCGGGTATCCATATTCCCAACCAAAGCCCTTTAAATTGGACAAAGATGAAGAATAAAAATAAGAGAAATAATTTCATGACAATTAAGAAGTAGGATATAAGGGTTAAATTCTTGAAGAAGTTATCAATGGACCTTTCTTTCGGGTGCCTTTCTTTCTATGAAAGGGATCAGACCAGAAGCCTGGAGGATGGACCACCTTAACAATCTCTTCGGGCCCTGCCTCCTGAAGAAATGCTTTCGTTAGCATTTCTTCCTTATCCACAGGCCTGAAAGCCCAGGACTAGTGTTTAGATTGTCTCAGCCAGGCTACAAAGTGGCTGGCAGAGGACCTGTGTGTTCATTTTACAGATGAGAAGGACAGGGTTGGACTCCTTGAAGAAAAGTCAGAGAAAAGAGTTAAGTCGGGGAGCTGTCTGCCCTCGCTAGTACTCCCAGAGCTTCAGCTCCTGGGTCTCACCTTTTCAAACGCAGGCTACCTGGCTGGTTCCGTGCAACAGATGCTTTGACCAGTTGCTAGGGGAACCAAGATCCGCCACTCGTTGCTAAGGGGAAGTCAAGAGGTAGACATCCTGGTGAAAGTTGGGTCACATGACAACATTTCTGGGTTGGGGGAAATACTCCTACTACCAATCAGCAGGAGAGAAAACAAATGTTTCTCCAATCAGTACTGTTTGTGGGCGGGGATTTTATAGCCCCTCCTCTTATCCCTTCTGTTTGAGTGATTGATCCGTCTGTTCTCCAATAATAGTAGGGATTCTAGAGAGATCAACATGTAGATGAATCAAAATACAGACTCTCGTTCAGAGGCGGGTCAGGGGAGGTGCCGCTACGCCTGACGGAGATTCCTGTGACCAAGCTCCCTTCTCCGCCCAATCGGACGCCGTGGGGTAGGTGGAGCTTCGCTGAGGGAGGTGCAGGGGCCAATCGGAGGAGGGCTGGGCAAATGTTGCCCAATAGGGACGCGATAGAGGCGGGGCCGAGGCGGGCGTTCGGCGTTCCTGAGGGTGGGGCGGGGAGTGAGTGTCAGTCAGGTCGCGAGCGCGACTGACAGGGTGCCCGGGCCGCTGCCGTGTTATCCGCCCAAGATGGAGTTCCTCCTGGGGAACCCGTTCAGCACCCCGGTGGGGCAGTGCCTCGGTAAGGCGGCGCGAAGGGCGGGCGTCTGGGTGGGCGACGGCGGCGGCTGATGGGGCTGGTGAAGACTACGGGCCTCTGCAGGGCACCGGTGCTACCTCACGGGCGGCCTGGGCATCCTTGTCGTCGGGCCTCTGTCCACGGGCGGGCTCGGCCTGTTCACGACGCCAGTGCCGTCCTGCCAGTCAGCGCCCGGAGGCCCAACTTGGACTCGGAGATGCTCTGCGCGTCCCTACCCATCAGGGCCCAACACCTCCTGGCTCTTTAGAGATGGTGCCAGCGGCCGGCTAGTCAGCTACTCCCTCACCTACTGGGAAATACCATTGCGTGCGCCGTTATTCAACTCGCTGCCACTGCCGTCAGGACCCAGTTCCTCCAGATCTTTCTCCCTCCATCCTTGTCCCTCCTTTTCAGTACCAGCAGCCCTCAGACTGTGCACCCTTCCAGAGAAGGCTCCCTGCTCTAAGATTTGCTAATTGGAGCTGCAACTCAGCTAGGTTGTGGGAGGGACTTGGATGGGGGGAGGGGCTTCTAGAGGGTGATTATCTTGGCCGTGGGGGATGGCATTCCTGCACTGCCTCGAGGAAAGAAGGGAGGCCATGTTATTTAATGATAAGAGCCCTGGACAGGGAGGAAATCAGGAATCCTGGGCCTCCAGTAGGGGCTTTGCCAGTGACTTTCCGCATGACCTTGTGCAAGTCACTGCCCTTTCTGGTTTGACACTTTCCTTGTCTGTCCAATGAGGTGTTTGGAGATGAGATGTAGTAGGTTCTTCCAAATTCTAAAGTTTTGATATTCCTCGTAGTACGTAGTCTTTGCTCATGACTGTTGCTTTCCTGCTGTATTAAATTGCCAAAGCTGAAATCTTTTGGTGGCAGTGTAGAGAAAGGGGTACTCGGCAGTACCTGTTAATCCTAGAGAGGGTCTGGGCACCTGGAAAAGGACACCGAAGTGACCAGTATCTTGGGTAAGGAAAGCCCAAGGCGAGGTGAAGGAACACCAGGAACCACCATATGGTTCCTCAGTAAAAAAGCAACTTGCCTATTCACCCAAGGCAGGAGCTTATGCCAAGTGATCAGTCCCAAACGTTAATTGGTTTCTTTTAACACTGGGTTCCTCCTGGTTGGTGGAAGGACTGGTAGAACGTCTTTTATGAACAAGGACCTTTGGAGTCCTTATGGGCCTGGCTGGTGTAGGCAGTAGTGATTTGTTTATTTCCTGCTCTACTCCAGAACTTCCAGCTTACTTTTCAGCCTTTAATGGGCTGAAAACTATTGAGACCCCTCCTGTTGGCTAACTGGCATGTGGGAGCCTTTCTTTTCTTTGTGTTGTAATATCTTTGATAAGGCATAATGGACACTGGGCCCTTGGAAGAGTCTTTCCAAACCTTTACAGACTATTGTGTCTCTCTAGATTCTCTTCCATCTTTCTTCCTCACTTCTTTTCCTCGGGTGCTCTTTCACTGCAGCCATATTCCTAAAACTCATTTCTCAGTCGGATGTTGAATTCCAACCTGTTATTGGAGGAAGCCAGTAAGCATTGGGAGGATTTTCTTTTCTTTTCTATATCCTTTACAGTAGGAAGCTCTACACCTTTGAAATGCCAAGGTAGTTGATGAGGTGTAGAAGTTAAAGGGGACTTAAAAATACATAAATATATTATATGGGGGGGGGTCGGTGGATTGGAGGAGGGGGATTGTCACTTTGTGAGGGGTGAAAAGCATAACTATTGCATTGTTTTGTACACCTGAAACTAATAGTAAAAAAAAAAAAACATAAATATAAGGGATGTAGGGGTATGTAGTGAGAGCATAGAGCATGATGCTTCTGTCAGGAAGACCTGGCCTTTGGATTTTGCCTTGACCATTTGTGGGCTGTGGGACCCCAGAAAATTGTGTAATCCTTCTGAGCCTTAGTTTGCTGAGAGAGAGAGAGGGAGAGAGATAGAGCGAGAGAGAGAGAGAGAGAAGGAGAGGGAAAAAGAGAAAGAGATTGGTTTGTACTCATAGAGTAGTGAGATTTAAGTGAGATGATGGATATAAAATAACATAGTGCTTGGAACATAGCAGAGGCTCAATAAATTGTAGCTGTCGCTATTAATAACAGAATAATTAGGTTAGCATTGAATTTTCTATCTGGAGAGGATATGTGGTACAACTGGCCCATCTGTGTCCTGTGAGGGAAAATACCCTCCTAGGCCTCAGCATCCATGACACTTGACCATAAGAGAATGGAGCCTCCTCATTGCTACTTAGTCAACCGGCAAGGCCTAGGAAATGTCACAGCTCAGTTCAGTTTTAATGTATATTTTGTACTGTTATGACAAAGTATAAAAGTGATTTTCATGACATTTAGTATTGTTGGTATTTTTTTAGAAGTATGTGCCAGGGGGTTGATGGGAGGGAGGGGAATATAGAACGGAAACAACAACAAAGCTAATGATTAAAAGCAGCCACTATAGCTTACACAAAGCAGTTCTACGGCCATTCTTTGTTCCTTACAGCTGCTCTGGGAAGGCGTTTTATTGTCTTCCCACATTAGAAATAAAGAAACTGAGGCTCAGAGGAGTGAAGTGACTGCTCAGCTGGTAAGAGGGAGAGCTGGGGTTTCATAGCTATGCTGGTCCTCAACGGATTGACAGTATCCGGAGAGAGGACAGAGATGCATTGGACTCAGAGAAGGCCACACCGAAGTTAGGTGCTCAGCTGAGTGCTCAGGTATTGTTGGTGCTATTAGGAGTCCAAAAAGAAATCAGAAGAGCTGAGTGATGGAATTGGTTTCTTTGAGTCTCAGGGCTGTTCATGAGGATGGCTGGGAATTCCAGCAGCAGAGAAGAGGATACAGGGAGATTAGGCAGGGAGGGGAGTGTGGGCACATGTGTGGGCACAAATCTGAGTGGAACAGTGGTGACTGTGGGGAACAGTGGCAAGTATGAAGCCCTGTTCTGGGTGGGTGACATCAAAGACTACATTCTTTAGTTAACGTCACCTTTTAGTCTCTCTGGACCCCATTTTCCTCACTCATAAAAGAATACCTCTGCGGCTGCATGGGGCTTGTACCTAAACTCTTTCAGACCCATTCAGTAGCCTTTTTGAGTGCCTGTTGGGTGCCAGGCTCTGGGATACAAATATTAAAAAGCTGCTCTTAGGGAGACTTCAGCAGAAGTAACATGCCCACCAAAGGTGCCCTGGACTGTGAAGCATTAGGCTCATAGTAGGAGGGGTAGTAGAGTAATTCTTACTCTATCTCATGGGCCCCATACGGACATTCTAACCTGGTGTCGTTTGGTCAAACATAGTCTGCCCATCTCGAGCAGCAGCTAAGCCCACAGTCTGTGCATTTCTTGCATTGCATTTCTTGCATCCACCCTGCCCTTCATTTTGGAAGGTGGTTCCTGAGTAGGATGCGTGTTTCAGAGAGAGAGCAGGCAGTGGTATGAGAGGCTAAGAAGCGTGGAGGAGGAAAAAGTACTTGCTTTTATTTCCTGATTTTCTCTTCTGAAACAAGTTTCCAAATGTTACTGTCTATAAATTTCAAAATATTGTCTTAATCTCAACCCTCTACTGGGTTGGATGTCTGCTGGAGTTGGATGTCATGCATCGGGAGGTCCCCAAGTCGGAGTTTTCCTTATGGTGGCTGGAAAGCGTTTTTAGATCATCTTTTTCCAAGAGTAAAGTTTGGATTCATCTAGATCAGGGGTCGGCAAACCTGCTCGCGAGCCACATGCGGCTCTTTGGGTACATGCATGTGGCTCTGAAGTAAAATTGAAAATGAAAATAAAACTACCATAGTTTCATTTATAAAATTTTTAAAGGATATTATTACATAATGGTGATTTCATTTGTTTTATGGGTCTCGAATAATTTGTAAATTGTTGTGAGTTACAGGATTGGCTCTCCTGTCTCAAAAGTTTGCTGATCCCTGATCTAGATGAAAAGATCATTGCAGTTAGTTAATTCTGACCAGGATATTTGGAGGGTGATGGGAGGACCGTCTATTTTCTTCATAGTTCTGCTTTAATAAACATGTACGAAGCAGATAATCTGTTGCAGGGTTTATGTTTGTAGATTGGATGATGCTGGACCTAAACCACTTCCTGGTGCCTGTGAACGCTAGGTGTTTGACGCCAGCATGGCTGTTTGTACCAAGAATGACGAGTCCTCGCTCAGGTTGCTGTGGCCATTGGGATTCATGAAGCCCTCTTGCTTCAGTCACTTTATTTAGTCTTCACAACCCTGTGAGAAACACAGGACGAGAACAGAAAGGAACTTATAATTATTGAGCATGTACTATATGCAGACTCTGTACATGGGATGTCATTTAATCCTCACAACATTTCATCATTTTAGTGCTATTGTCCCTGAATTGCTTATAAGTAAGTTGAGAGGTTCAGACTTGTGCAAGGTCAATGCCAGAGTAAAGCCCAGAATGCACTCATTCCGTGCTTGTTCTGTGCTGCCATTTTGCTTCTGGCGCTGCAGATCCCGTGATTCAGGATAATCAGAATCACCTGGAGGGCTTGTTACAGCATTGCTGGGCTCCATTCTCAGAGCTTCCAATTCAGCGGGTGCAGGCTGGGGCCTAGTGTTCTACAATTCTAACAAGTTCCCCAGGGATGCTGGTGCTGCTGGGCCAGGCCCCACATTTTGAGAACTATTGCTTGAGATGAAAAGTTTTGCTTATTTGGTCTCTTTTTAATCTTCAAACATTAAATATGGGTCTTCATATAGATGATAAGTAAAGTTATTTAGAATTTATTCATTCATTCAGTAGCCTTATACTGTCTGTCTGTAGAACCAAACTAAGTATTTGCCAGGATGTTAGTCTAATAATATCTAAGATGGTTACCTAAACCAGGTAAGATAGAAAGTAGTGGCACAAGATTGGGCAGATAAATGAAGTAAGGGAATGAAGGAGGGAAGGGGTTACCTCGAGCAGTAATAATAATAGCTAAAGGTGTTTTTTTTTAAGTTCAGTATTGTATGAATATGTGCCAGAGACTGA